TTCGTTTCAGCGTGGTACCGCTTTTGAAGTTCAACTTTTATGTTGTGAAAGGCTTCTGAACTAAATTACTGCCCCAAAACATCAGCATCTTTGCTTTAGGGACTTGAAAATTTTTACTGGAGAATCTCTAAAGTAATTCTTGAACATGGGATAAGAGAACAGACGACTTCAATACTCCGTGGGAAACAACTGAACCCTCAGTCCATGGGCAAAAATTTTCGAAGAATATTTATCAAGTGGCTTTGTACCAAGAAGAATAAATCCATTAAACCCATCTTGCAATCTGAACACCACTGCCAGCGAATGAACTCAGAATCTCTCTGCTACACCTACCATAGGACAGATCCTGTTAAAAAATACAGATTACTACTGCCAGGAGGCAGGACTTCAGGACAAGACACACATCCCAGCTCTACTCCTGCAGCCTTTCAGGTGGCCATAAAGCACGGCTCAGCGACCACTGGGCAGCACCTAAAAAGCCCACAGCCTCCCTCCGCTGCGCTTTTCCACTGGCAGCAATTTCGGTCCTTTGATTCAGCTGCACACTTGACCTGGCTAAACCTTCCTCCAGCTGAGCGAGCGGCGTGTCGTGGCAGCGCCGGGTTGTGAAATAAAGTGGGAGGCCTCATGTGCTCATTTGTGTGTCAGTACCCAGAGTGCTGCTCCTGGCTCCCAGCTACTTCATAGAAGTGCTGCTGGGACTGGCACCGTGGGAACACGGCGCTGCTGCGGCGTGGGAGTGCAGGGACAGCTCCCCCGTGGGCAGGGACAGCTCCCCCGTGGGTAGGGACAGCTGCCCCGGGGTTAGGGACAACTCCCCCGGGGGTAGGGACAGCTCCCCCAGGGGTAGGGACAGCTCCCCCGTGGGCAGGGACAGCTCCCCCGTGGGTAGGGACAGCTCCCCCGTGGACAGGGACAGCACCCCCGGGGGTAGGGACAGCTCCCCCGTGGACAGGGACAGCACCCCCGGGGGTAGGGACAGCTCCCCCAGGGGTAGGGACAGCTCCCCTTTGGGTAGGGACAGCTCCCCCGGGGGCAGGGACAGCTCCCCCGGCCCTGCTCCACACAGCTCTGCCCAGGCTGCGGGTGTGCCCCCAAGCCCAACTCTCGCAAAAAGGCTTCAACAGACACAGTCAAACCCACCCTCCTCCAACAAAGCCTTCAGGGCTGTGTCTGAGCTCACTCAGGGCCAGGGCAGCATCCTGAGCTGTCACACAGGAGGGACACACCAAGGCCAGGTCTGCCCCACAACAAAACACTCACCAAGCACCAGCTACTGAGCTCAACAAAAAGGCCTTGGCACTGATGGTGAATTTCTAGGACCCTGTTTTGCAAGCCTGTCAAGTTATTCACATTTTAGATTTCTAGAAATCCCCCAGAATGGAGTGGTTTTGCTCCGTGCCAGGAACGGGGGATGAAGTGAGAGGCAGGTGGGTAGATGGGACACCCACAGGAGTAAAGGCCACGCTGGTGCAGCGAGACTCTGAAGGACCAGGGAGAGAGCAGAGCAGAACACCACCTGCATGAGCATGCAAGAAGGTGGAAAACCCAGTGAAGGACACAAAATAAGTCAAATGGAGAAATTATCATGTGGCTCAAGACAATAAAGAGCTTTGGGAAGCGGCAGGAAGGTGAAAGGCCCTATGGGAGGTCAATCACCCATCCAAGCACAAATAGGGAGGATATAAAAATAAAAATCTTAGAAGAAGGTAAGAAAAGCAATTGAGGCCTCTCTGGTTCCTGCTGTAGTGTTCCAGCTGTCACAACTCCCTCCTTCACACAGACCTAGACAAAAGCTTCTGCAAGTGGCAAGACCGGGCACCAGGAGTTGTTCAACCAACCCAGCAGACCGAGAGACGAGATACCTACATGCACACATCCCCCTGCCAGTCCAGATGGATGGATATGCACAGCAGATACTTGATGCATACAGAAATATGCATCGGGAATGAAATATCTAGGAAAGCTACGCCTTGTAGCAAAGCTTTAAAACCACACCAAGGAAAAAAGGGGAAAAAAAAAAAAAAAAGAGAGAGAGAGAGAAATAAAAAGGCAGTTTTACCACTACGCTGAATCTGCAACAGGGGCTTGTGCCAACCCAGCTCCTCCATTTAAGTCAGACCCTTAAAAGGCAGAGCTGTGCTGGCAGAAATCTACAGACCTCATCACAGAAACCTCATGAAGACACACGAAAAGGTCAAAAAACTCACTGCTGCTTGAACAGCCATAAAAATGGTCATATGCATCCCATGCTACCTAAATCCTACGAGAGCCCCAGGGAGACACAACACACAAAGCAACGTGTCTCCACGCCACAGAGAAAGAAATAAATTTTAAAAACTGACAAAAAGGCCACTCCTGAGAGCAGAAAGCCCAAAATCTGACACAGCAGCTTATGGCACACCATGCACAGCAACACCTCCGTATAAAACAGAACAAAGCAAAGATCTACATCAAAAAGGAAGCCCACCACAAAGACACATGTGCTTCACCCTTTCATCCCCGGAGACAGCCAGAGCCCCACAGCCTCCCAGAACCCACACAGACCCACAGCACTCCACACAGGCACACGGAATGGGACCATCCTGTCATCTCCTCACTCAGCACCTCAACTTTACTCCATTCCTTGCCCCTGGCCACAGCCTCCCAATCTTGGAGCCTGATTAAATCTCCCCGTAATTACCCACACGCACTGCTACAACACAAATGACCTTAGCATATGATATCCGCTGGCTGAGCCCAGTGGAAAAAGACTTCAGGAAAAGGAAGGATAAGCGTACAAAACTCTGCCAGCACCGTCAGGGTCTCCTCGGGACTGCACCGAAATAATAGGAGCCCTGAGGCCAGTTCAGGAGCCTTGAAACTTAAGCCCAGTTCTGCCCAGGATGTGATAAAATGTTCTGTTTTCTGTATCCCATCATCCGAGCACACACTCACCCCTCTGTCCCTCCCCACCAGACTCTCCGCCACCTTCCAAATTAACCCATGCAGGAGACTTCACATTTCATGATGACGGATTTCTGGCAAAAATTTCCAAGGCATAGATGGCCACCATTTCCTTACAGAATTTTTGGCATTCACTACCAGGTGTGCTGAACTCCCTCTGCAAGGAGTGCTGCGCTCCATGCAGATTTCCAGGGTGGGAGAAGGGTGCTTCTCCCATTCTGAACTGGGATCTATGAAAGGGTCACCAAAAAAACTGAGGCAAAGCCGAGATTTAATAATCTTTTTCTTGTTCTCCACCTGCATCCTCACCTGGGGCGTTGAATAAGTCACACAACTGAAGAGAACACCCAAAAAGCCTTGTGAAAAAGGGAAGCACTTCACTACTAACATTCATTTGAATTAGACTCTGGAAATGACCAAACCAGGAACACAGGACCCTTCTGGAGCAAGAATGTGAAAATTTCTTAATTCTGCTTCCCAAATGAAGCACGCCCTAGAAAATTCCTTTTCCAACATGAAAAATGTCTCCACTCGGAGAGCCGTGTTCTCCTCTCGCATCCATGCTCATCTATCCCACCATTCCATCTCGGCACATGACTGACAGAGAATAGACAAGCCATTAAAAACACATCCACCTCCAACCACGGGGATAATGTGCCTCATTACAGCCCAGCTTTGTCACAGCGTCCTGACACTCCGGGGAGGGAAAGGAGGGGTGAGGACAAGGACTGAGCCAGGGGCAGGACAGAAAGTGGGACTTGAGGAGTGGGACTCTGCTCCTCAATCCAGTCCAATGGGCTCTCCAGGCCTTCTAGGCTGGCCGTGGAATTTTAAAGATCTTTGCGCTTGCCTGGGTATTTTGTTGCATTTTTTTTTAGGAATAAAAACTCAGCTTCAGTCAGACTGAATATATGTCTGCCCCTTTAAATAGGTATTTGGTCAGGTAATTCAGAGTTTTACTGAACGTTCGAGGAGGGCTTCAAACATCACTTGTCTTTGCCAGGCTTGTGCACTGCCCTTGCACTGCAGACGCAGAAACCCAAAGCCAAGCTGGGGAACCTCTGGCGGTGGGGCAGGATCCAAGCAGCAAACCTGCAGCTGGAGTTTGCTTTGCCCTTGCAGCGGGGGAAGGAGCAGAGCGAGCTGCTCATCCCCAGCCAGTTGCACCATCGCCAGGAGCCAGACAGACAGCCCGGTGTCTGTGAGTCCTCAAGGCCTGTGGCACTGCTGCCCAGGGAGCAGGACCGCTGCCAGATGCCAAGGCAGCCTCCCACCCACACACCGGGGATTCTGGGATCTAAAGGCAGCTCAGACTGAAAGAAAAACAAGAGACACCTAAAAAAAAATGTGCTTTAGCCGTCTGGCCCAGCACGGCACGGCAAAGCTCGAGGAGCTGCTGCAGCTGGCCCTGGCCAGAGCCACACTGGTGGATGTATGCATAATCCAATATACAAAAGCCAGGCTGGGGGGGAAATTTAGGCTCCACAGGGATACTCTAAAACCAGGGACGACTCCATTCGCGTTCCGCACACTTAATATGAAATCCAGTAACCTGCATTACCGTCACAGTTATTTTCTCAACAGCCACATTTCATTTCCATACGAGCGTTCAGAGCATGGAGCCCTCACCTCCATCCCTGGCGACACGCAATCGATCAGAAGAGTGCATGTACTCGTGTCTGGAGCCATCAGTACCTGCTCTTTTTTTCTGGCTTCTTCCTTGTCTTGATCCCTGAATGAAGCCCTTGAGACCCAAAAATCACCTACTTCCAGATAAAGTCTGGGGCAGCGTGTTGGGCCTCAAAGATCAGGGTCCACGTAATAGTAAAATATACAAACATATGTATGGAATCTAAACAAACTCCAGCCACCGTGTTCCGAACACAACCAGAGCAATAGAGGTGCCATCTCGAGCACTGCACATGCAGGAGAATGGAGAACACGATTAAAATTGCTAAATGAACTCCAGGGAAAAGCAGCTGGTAACAAATTGGGTATATCGACGAAGGCTACCGAAATCCCCCCCCTCCTCTAAAATTGCAGGCATCACTTACCCGGGGGGCTTTCCTCTTGTATTTGTTGTTATAGTCAAATTTTTCTTTCATTTCATCTAAGAGCTGGCCCAGTCTAGCTTTCTCCTCTTTCCCAGTATAATCCTGGCTGAGGAGGATATAGGATCTCCAGTTTGCAGAGTCAAAGCCCCAGTGGCAAGTCCTGTTTTCCAGCGATTTGTGAGAGTGGACCACAAATTTGTGAGGTGGGTACATGAGCCTGCAGTCCAAGCACTGGATGCAGGCTGCGCTGGGGTTACTGTAAAGCTCTGGCACCAGGAGTCCCTTACACTTCCCAAAGCACTCATGATACACCTTGAAGCTCTTCTCCGTGAGCTCCAGCTCGATTGTGCTCGAGAATTCCTTCTTGCAGTGGGGAGGATAGGTGCCACCATAAAGCAAGGCGTTACAAAGCCTCTCAGCGTCAGTTTTCGTGATGAGCCCGCAGGAAGGAGCGGAGAAGGGCAGGATGCCCATGACTTTGAGGATTTCCAGCTGGTCAGCAGTGCATCTGGAGCAGTAAATATGCAGCTCATCACACACCGAATTAATCTGCTGCAGGGAGAAGTCCCTGAGCACCGAGTTCAGGATCTGGGGCAAGCAAAGCCGCTTCTCTCCACCCACCACGAAGCAGGAGATGGTTTCCCCTTCCAGGATGGTCTCGCACCTCTCTGTGGATCTGTCCGAGGGCATGAAGAAGGGACCAGGCATGACCGGAGGAGGCTGGATGGGGGGCAGATGCAGTACGGGTTCCGCGGGGTCTTTGCCATTGTCTTTCTTGTACATCTCCTGTGCCCATCGTGCTGAGAAAGCAGCAGGGCCACCCAGGGAGCTCATAGAGCTCAGATGAAACTGTTCCAAGGTCTTCTGCAGTCCTGGATGAGGCTGGAAGCTGCTTCTACTTACAGTCTCCATTTTTTAGTTTCTATTCCCAAAACAAACAACAAAAATCCCCAGTTATCTTCCACCCTGGTACAAATCCACTTAAGGGATTTTTTTTAAGGAAAAAAAATATGAACAAAATAAAACAAACCCACCCTTGGTTTTTTTTTTTTTTTCCTCCTTCCCACTCAGCAATCCACTAACGGAGAGGAAATAAATCCTTTCGTATGCGTGTCTCTGTCTTCTTTTCTTTCCTCTTGGTTCGTTACAATTTCAAACCCTCCAAGTCTCCAAGCTGCCCCGATGGAGCACAGAATCACGGCAAAAAGAGGTCTTCATCCGAGCACTCACCCCCTCAGCCAGCCCCCAGGCAAACCGATCCCTCCTCCCACACCTCCGACACTCACACACTCACTCACACACACACACACACCACCCACGGAAACACAAAAAGTCTGTGCCGCGCTCCGAGCACCCGGGGCTCAAATATGTTCTGGCGGCTGCTGCTTCTCTGCAGTGATCCCCCTTCTGTCCATATCCACCGGAGGCAGGCGCGGGGGAGGGAAGCAGAAAGCGGGAGGCGGCAGAAGGCTCGGGCTGTGCGAGAACAACGCAGGAGGAAAGGCCCCGGTCTCCGGCGCTGCCGCGGGGGCTCCGCACGGGCGATGAGCGGCTCCGCTGCCCCTCGGGGTCCCTCTGCTCGGCCGGGGACGGCTCCTCGTCCCTGGGGTCGCCTCCCTGCCCCTAGTGCTGCCGGTGCTGTCGGCGTGCCGTGGGGAGCCGCGGAGAGAGTGCACACATCCTCGCCGCTCCGCTCGCCAGCAGTGACTGAGAGTGCCTGAGAGCTGAGCTAATGCAGGCGGGCTCAGCCTCCCGCCCTCCGCCTCCCCCCCTCTGTTTGTTGGTGTCTGCCTCAGTCATTGAATCCCGGCCAAGAATGTGACCAACTCCCCAGGCCGGGCTCTTCCAGGAACAGCGCCCGCCTCCCCCCTCGCTCTGCGCCGACACCAGCGGGGATGTACCGAGCCGAGCCGGGACGTGCCGAGTCCAGGCGAGCTCAGCCGAGCAGAACCGAGCCGGGCCGAACCGAGCCAAGCCGGATCGAACCGAGCCGAACCGAGCCGAGCTCTGTCGAGCCTAACCGAGCTAAGGCCTGTCGAACTGAGCCGAGCCGAGCCGAGCCGAGCCGAGCCGAGCTCAGCCGAGCCGAGGCGGGCCCAGCCGAACCGCTGCACGGGCGGGCGCGCGGCGCGGCCCCGGCGGCGGCGCCGGCGAGGGAGGGAGGAGGAGGAGGAGGAGGAGGAGGAGGGAGGGAGGGAGGATAAACTGCTGGGTTCACGGACCGCCGCGCCGCCGAGGAGGGCCGGGAGGGCGACGGCTTTTTCCTCTCGCCGCTGGATCCCTGGCAGCGGGGAAACGGAGCGGCGGAGCACGGAGCGTGTGTGTGAGCCCTGCCAGAGCCCTGCCCGCTCCGCTGCGGGCACACGCCCCGCGCACACCGCGATCGCGGGCGGGAACTGCACGGGCCGGGAGTGCCGAGCCCACCCAGCGCCGCGGGCACAGCGATCCACGCACGTGTGCTCCGCTACACTCACACGCGTGTTCCCCCCGCTCTCACACACATGTGCCCCCCGCTCTCACACACGTCACACGCTCGTTCCACGCGTGGCTGAGTGGGCAGAGCGGGAGCAGTGAGCCAGGGGCAGGCACGTGGGGTCGGTTCCTCGAGCCCAGCCCGCGGGGCCGGGGCCGTCCGGGTCAGTGCGGGTCTGTCCCGTCTGTCTGGGTCTGTCTGTCCGTCACTCTGCCCGGGGGCACCGCCGCGCTCCGGGGCCGGGCTCCCTCTACCGACCGACCGGCTCAGCGCCGACACGGCTGGGACGGACACACGGACACCAGAGACCAGGGCACGGACACCAGAGGCCAGGGCATGGACACACAGACACCTCTGACCAGGGCACGGACACCAGAGACCAGGGCATGGACACACAGACACCTCACCAGAGACCAGGGCATGGACACACAGACACCTCACCAGAGACCAGGGCATGGACACACAGACACCTCTGACCAGGGCACGGACACACAGACACCTCTGACCAGGGCATGGACACACAGACACCTCTGACCAGGGCACAGACACCCACTGCCCACTGGTATTGACAACCCCTGCCCAGCAGCACTGCCAAGTCTGTTATGGATTTATTATCCAGATCAGCAGTGAGATGCTCTTACTATTAATGTCAAATTTCAAAGCAAAAAAACTGTGGCTTCTCCCTTTTTTCCACGGGCTGCGCCCCCAGAATTCTAACAAACATTTCAACCAGCGCTAAGCACCGCCACGAGGAACACGCTGAAAAGGTTTCAGCTGTTATCTCTGAGCTCTGTCAGATGCCTGTGCCAAAAAGGGCTGGAGAGCACTTTCACACCAGGACAATTGTTAGTACTGTTTGTAATGCAGCAGTGACTTGAAGCGCTGCTCATCTATAGAATGTGTGACACGGACACTGAGCGACCAGACAGTTCACCAGGGCAGGGTAACACAGACAAAACAGAAGAGGAGGAGAGCAATCAGAAAACATTACCACTGTGATTCCCTGTCAGTGTAATGGGGCAGGGAACACACCAAGCTCTCGTGTTTAATTTGTACTTTTATATTCTGAAATGCCAGTTGAGAGTGAAGGACAAAGGTGTCAGAGTTGCACAAGAACGTAAGCCAGCATTTCCCCCGAGAGGAACCCACCCTCACAGACCCAACTTGGCCATCAAGCCTGGAAGGATTAAAGGGGCTCAGAGAAGGCAGAAACCAAACACGCTGGGTCGGGTCAGCAGTTGTGTCTTCATCTCCACCAAATTGTGAACACAATGAACAGAAAGTCACTGGTGGCAAAAGGACCCCTCTGTTTCCACAATGCACGTGGATTTAGTGATCCACAGGTGGAATTTTTAGGCATTACCACAATACCAAGGCCTAAAGACATGATCTGACAGTCTAGGCCACCCAGTCCCTGTTGATTCCTGATTCCTAAATAAGTCACCACGTTAAGAGAAAGCAAGACTCACTTACGGAGTTCCCAGTTCCTTTAAAGAACCAAAGTCCTGCTTGCAGGAAGTTTGGAAACTTCTCAGCTCTGGAAGCTGGGTTTTACTCCCTCTTCTTTACCCCTCAGAAAGAGAGGACAGCAGTAGCTGCTGTAGCTCATTTTAAGAGAGGTGCCATTTTCTCTTCCAAATGACTTTTTAATGCAAGTAAATCACTGGATCGTGCAACAGATTGTTTATGGGTGGAATTCATAAACGGAATTCCTGAAGCAGAGGGGACTACCAAAAAGACAGGAAGGATGGGCTTGTGGTTAAGACAGAAAACTCAGGACATCTGGGGTCTATTCCCAGATCTCCCACAGACTTCCTGTTGCCTTGGGCAAGTTGTTCAGTCTCTCTGTGCCTCAGTTTCTGTCTCTGCAGTCCCCAGACGGTGAGCAATGAGAGTGGCAGCTCCTGCACCGGAGATCTGTGAGGAGACAGGAACCAACCTTCATCTCCTGCAGGAACAATACCTGCCCGTCTTTACATCCCCCAGACTGCTCAGAGCCACAGCAGGGGCAGGGGCAGCGATGGGAGCTGTCATGTGGGATTAAGGTGGCAGTGCCCTCTGAAGTCTCTGCCTCCCCGTGAGGGACCCTGAGCGCTGCACATCTGAAAAGCACGGTAATCTTTCCCCCACTAACTGTTTGTCCTGCTCCAGTTCCAAAGCCCTCTAGCTGGAGAAAGGAGAGGGGGAAAATATCTCCGAGGAAGGGCCCTAACACCACAGTGTTTTTCTCACTCTCTCCCTCTTCTCCTCCCCCTCTCCATTGGCTTCAAGGCCAACAGCTCCTGGAACACAAACACTCTTGTAAACTTCTGAACCACACAGCCCTATGGTGGGTGGGTGTTTGCTCCCTGCCTGCCAGTTCCAATCCACCCACAGATTCCAAAGGCCCAGAACAAAAAGCAGACTCCATTTTCCATATTTAACAGGCGATTCGCTTCCCTCCCCGGCGCCTTCACTCGCACAACTCGGTGCCTCTCCCAGCACCGTGTCCCACCTTCCCCACCTGCCCCAGGCTGAGGGCGTTGAGTGGATGTTTACACAGACGCAGGAAAAGCATTTTCCACGTGGATTCCCCCAGCCCTCGCTGGTGTTCAGAGCCTGCCTGCTCAGGAGGAGCTGGGGATTATCGAGGGCTGTGCTGCAGATTGCAGCTCTTTGACAAAACGTTTGGGAAGGGCCCACTGTGCAGGTTGTGAGCGGGGAAGGGGGAGCGTGGGTGTGAACACCACATGTCAGGATCACTGCTGCAGCTCCCATCAGCCTGTGCACCCCTTGGAGCAGCCAGCAGCCAGCTGCCCCCTGCCTCTTCAGACATGATCATTTATCCAGGCCATCACTGTCACCAATCAGCTCATTTACAGTGGCACTGGGGAACGCCAGACTATCCCGAACCCGTGGAACGAGGCTTCAAACTCTGCTGAAAACGATCATCTGAGAGTCAGGTGATCTTTTTCCATCAGATATTTCACACAGATTCCACTTACAGAAAATTATTTCACAAATGGGAACCAACTTATCTTTTTGGCCAAAACAAATTTGGAAACGTTTCTTTTCTAAAGAGACCACTTTTTTTTTTTGGTATGCGTTTCTCTGAGATATGTACCACAATATGTGGATTTAAAACATCTAAAAAGTCACAAGAAAAAAAAATTTTATGAATCAGTCATACTTAAGATGAACCAAACAAAAATTTTCACTGTCTGAGAAGGTCAGAAATGGACTAATGTCAACAAAAATATTTTCTTTTTTTTTTTTTTTAAATTGATGGAAAAATCAACTATCAGCAGCACACCTTTCAGGGCAAAGAGCTCAGTGAGGTGGCTGGGACTTGTCAGCAATGACAGCAAGGCTGTATTTTATGGCTTTGGTTCAGCTAACTCATTTTATTTACCATATTCACGGCAGCTTCTCCCAGCCCTAAGAAGAGACTCAGAATTCATCAATATTTTCTTAACCCTTTCCCAGTTCTTGGTTCTGTCCAGCCCAGCTCCACAATGTATCTTTTATATCTTCCCAAAGTACGGAACCTCCACGGTGAATGCACCTCACAGACACATGACCTGCTTCAAACATGGCTTGGTCTCAAATACAGGAGGTGAGGGGTTGTTAAAAGCACATGAAAGAGCTCTCCATCCTCTGGAATTCTTTCCTCCCAAGTTGCCTGGTATGTTGCTCAGGGCTGCCCCTCCCTCCCACACACTCTGTACCTACATGTCCCAGTGGATGCTGCCAAACACCTCATTGAGGGAAAAAAAAAAATCAAAAAAACATGCTTGGTACCGCCAATAAAAAAATTAATGTACTGGGAAAAGTCGGAGTCAGAGAGGGGAATAAAGCTGGAACTCCTGGGATTGCCAAAGCAGCCCTCAGGACAGGCCTGCAGGGCTGCCCACACTTTGGGCCGTTTGTGCTACCAGTGAATCTTTCATTTCCCACATCACCATCAGGGAGCAAACAAGGCAGAGCATCCACAGCCAGCAGGGACAGGACTGGAACACCAAGGCGGAGCCTTGTCCCTGGGAACAGCTCCCACTTCGCCTGGAACCCCCCTGCAGCTTGAAGGGCCAGCATTCCCTTCCTCAGCACCCTCTCACTGACTCCAGGCAGTTCACATATCCCTCCTGAACCAGTCTGAGATCATTTCTCATCTCATGGCACCCACATTTTGCAAATAAACTGATGTGCTCAAGTGCTGGGAAGGCTCTGGGTTATCCCCCAGGCTCTGATCCTGCTCTCTGGAAGGCTCTGGGTTATCCCCCAGGCTCTGAGCCTGCTCTCTGTTCTCACATCCTTTGGTACTTTACATCAGCTTAAGATCCAGAAGCATTCCTGAGGTCTGCCTC